ACCCGGCAGCCAGGCCCCCGCCGACACGGAAATGTGAGCCGGGCGGAGGAGGGCATCCCTAGCGCGAACCGAGAGGGAGCAGAGAGACAAGGGAGGGCACGAGTTTTCTATGGACAGTTAGGAAATTGCAGACTTTTTTTTTTTATGATTATTTCTGTGAAGAACTTCAAAATCAGCCTAAAGCATACAAATCTCCAGAGCTGCCAAAGACCTGCTTCTCTGCCTCCTCCCACTTCTCCCGTTGACCACACAAGACAGTTTTTCGCAGCTGTTCTCTGCTTTTGTTGTTAGAAGAACACAATGAGAAATGCAAGTGCCCTTAGCCCCGAACAGCTTTTTAGCAGAGGCAGCTTGCAGCTACAGAAACCTCGAGCCAGACTCCAGACAGTCAGAATTTTTTGGTGGCAGTGTATTAGGCTGATTAAAATAGTTAAATTGGGATTTCAGTGACAAAAACCTCTCAGGTTTCAGATAATTTTGGTTAACAGAGCTGGGTTTTATCTCATCTTTATGTTTAACTGCAGGATTTCTTCCTCTTTTAAGAACATCAGACATTTAATCCCCTCTTCTTGTGCTTTAGGTCTTCTTTAGTATTTCCTACTCCAGCAGAATTTGCTGAAGCTCTGTGTAAAATTTTCTGCATAGAATTGAAGACTGAAATGTGAATAGACCTTAAGAATTGTTTCTTTTTTAATCCTACCAGTACACAGGTAGTTGTTTTAGAGTAAAAGATCTCCCCTGGTCTCTCTGTGTCAGGGGCTGGAGACGGTGTTGGCGAGGCAGAGCCAGCAATCGATCCCTCGAGTGAGCCGGAGCAGCTCTGACGGGGCTGCGGAGGGGTCTGTGGCCCCCCGGGGCTGGCAGCCCCCCGCCCGCCCCCCGACACACGGGGGTAGGTCCCAGCGTAGGACGTCGGGAATAAAAGATGCCGCAGGGCTCCCGGTGGGACGAGTGCTAGACAGAGACCTGGCTCCGCGGAGGGGGTTTCTCCCTCTGCGTCAGCAGTGGGTGCACGAGCAAAAAGTATTCTCACTTTGGGAAGCGAAGGCCAACACCAGCATCCCGACAGCAGGAGCAGGTCCTGCCTAGCCCTGCCCTGGTCCTGCTGCCGACGGCTGAGCTACGTGCAGCTCGGGGAGAGCCGGGGCCCAGGGGCTTCCCGAGGG